GTCCAACCCCCTGCTTAAGCAGGAAACCCTACACCACTTCAGATAAATGGATAGCCAACATCTTCTTAAAAACTTCCAGTGTTGGAGCATTCACAACTTCTGGAGGCAAGATGTTCCATGGATTAATTGTTCTAACTGTCAGGAAATTTCTCCTTAGTTCTAGGTTGCTTCTCTCCTTGATTAGTTTCCACCCATTGCTTCTTGTCCTGCCCTCAGGTGCTTTGGAAAATAGCTTGACTCCTTCTTCTTTGTGGCAACCCCTGAGATATTGGAACACTGTTATCATGTCTCCCCTGGTCCTTCTTTTCATCAAATTAGACATACCCAGTTATTCCAACCGTTCTTTATATGCTTTAGTAGTCCTTGACTTACAACAGTTCATTTAATAACCGTTCAAAGCGGCACTGAAAAGAATGACATATGATCATTCATATGTCACGTGACCATACACCCTGTGGTCACATGAGCAAAATTTGGATGCCTGTCAACTGACTCGTATTTATGACAGTCACATGTCCCAGGGTCATGTGATCCCCTTCTGACGAGCAGAGTCGATGGGGGGGGAGGCCAGATTCGCTTAACAACTGTGCTTACTAACTTAATAAGAGCAGTGATTCACTTAACAACGGTGGCAAGAAAGGTCAGAAAATGGGGCAAAACTCACTCAACCAACGTCTCACTTAGCAACGGAAATGTTGGGCTCAACTGTGGTCGTAAGTCGAGGATTATCTGTATGGTTTCTAAAGTGGAAGTGAAGCCACCTGGAAATGAGTTTTGTCCCTCTGGGGCCCACCCCAATTATTTCCTTAGTGCCATTCTGCTCTCAGAGCTGTGTGAAGGAAGCCATCACCCCAGAGTGGCAAAGTTAAACATTTTGAAAAAGTGTCTATATTGTTGCAGAAAAGACAAAGGTAACCCCTTTTTTGAGGGCAACAAATACCATTTTGCCAGTGGTGAAATCCAAATTTTTTTACTACCGGTTCTGTGGGCGTGGCTTGGTGGGCGTGGCAGGGGAAGGATACTGCAAAATCCCCATTCCCTACCCACTCCTAAGGGAAGGATATTGCAAACTCTCTATTCCCACCCCACTCTGGGGCCAGCCAGAGGTGGTATTTGCTGGTTCTCCGAACTAGTCAAAATTTCTGCTACCGGTTCTCCAGAACCTGCTGGATTTCACCCCTGCATTTTGCTATTCTTCAGCCATGAGGCATTTCTTTAAAAAAAACCAAAATGTTGAGATGTGTCCAGATATTTAGCAGTGGGTCTGTTCGCCGTCTCCTTGATGTCATCTCATGATGCGATTGGTTGTTTCTCCACCTTGCTCGGGTGTGAAACCTGGTTGACCACATCCAGCCCTGGTTGTATTCCGGGAGAAGGGAAAAGTATGACTTCTGGATAAGACACGGATGACAGCTCACTTCCTCAATCATGGTAGTCAAGCTTTGGAACTTTGCAAGATAAAACATAGAATAATAGACTTGGAAAAGGGGCCTTGGAGGTCTCGTATCCAACTCCTTGCTCAAACAGGAAATCTATATCATTCTGGACAAGTTGTTGTCCAATCTCTTCTTGAAAACTTCCAATGATGGAGCACTCACAACTTCTGGAAGCAAGCTGTTCCATTGATTCTTTTCGCTGTCAAGACATTTCTCCTTACCCCGTTTCCCCGAAAATAAGACCCAACCGGAAAATAAGTCCTAGCATGATTTTTCAGGATGCTCGTAATATAAGCCCTACCCCCAAAATAAGCCCCAGTTAAGATTGTCAGTCAGATGGATGCATTTAGTGCTGTATTTCCCCAAAAATAAGACCTAACCAGAAAATAAGCCCTAATGCGTCTTTTGGAGCAAAAATTAGTATAAGACCCGGTCTTATTTTCGGGGAAACATGATAGGTTGGATCCCTTTTTAATGATCTTCCACACCAGTAGTGAGTTGCCCCCAGTTCGGACCGATTCTATCGAACCGGTAGTAAAACCGGCGGGAGGCTCCGCCCACCGACCCCAACGTCATCAGAACGCTTCTGCACATGCGCGCGGCCCTGTTGTGAACCGGTAGTAAAGGTAAGTAGAACCCACCCCTGTTCCACATGTTACTTCTTGTCCTGCCCAACTCCCATCTTTTCGGTGACAGGCCCTCAACTGCTGGAAAACAGCTGTCATGTCACCCTTACTTCTTCTCTTTGTTAAACTAGATGTTAATTAGTTGGTTAGACTTGAAAGTCCTTAGACCAGATGTTCATTTTTTAGAGGGAAGTGTGATGATTAAAGACACCAAGCTTGTCAGCTGGAGAGCTTGATAGCTCAGGTTCAAGACCCAAGAGCCATACAATGGGGTGAGCTCTTGTCCCTTGCTCCTGCCCACCTAGCAGTTTGAAAGCATGAAACATGAGTAGATAATTCATAGATACCACTTTGGTGGGTATGCGCCTTTGGCATATAGCCATGCTGACCACATAACTACGGGAAACATCTTCTTCATTCAAGAATTCAAGAATCAGTACCAAGCCCTAGAGTTGAGCAGGGGAAACCTTTATTTTACTGTTATCTTTTCATTTCCCAGACAATTAAAGACTTTTCTACACAGCTAGGGAAAACGGGGACACGGTGGCTCAGTTGCTAAGACGCTGAGCTTGTCGATCGAAAGGTCGGCAGTTCAGCGGTTCGAATCCCTAGTGTCACGTAATGGGGTGAGCTCCCATTACTTGTCCCAGCTTCTGCCAACCTAGCACGTAAAAAAATGCAAGTAGAAAAAATAGGGACCACCTTTGGTGGGAAGGTAAGAGTGTTTCGTGCGCCTTTGGCATTGAGTCATGCCGGCCACATGACCACGGAGATGTCTTCGGACAGCGCTGGCTCTTCGGCTTTGAAACGGAGATGATCACCGCCCCCTAGAGTCGGGAACGACTAGCACATATGTGTGAGGGGAACCTTTTCACAGCTGGGAGTATACAATCCTGAATAATCCAAAATGCTAAAAGTCCCTTGACGATCTCTTTCAAAACACCTTGTTCCTACCTTTTCCTTACTCCAGCTTTTGTGGCCTTTAAGGAGCGTCTGATAAGATGAACTTCCAATCAGGACCATTGATGGCAACCCCTCAATATTGATTTCTCTCCTCTCTCCCCCTACTTTCCCTCCCCTCCCCCCCTCCCACACAAGGCTTTGCTGAATTGAGCCTCCCACGCATATGTTGAGGGGAGCTTACTCACAGTCATATGATCTCAGCCTGTGACTCACCTACTCCTCCGAATCTTTGCCTTCATCAAGGGTGGCAAAACCGCAGCCAGCCGGTTTGCAAGATTGCTGTTCTTAAGGGGAAGGTGGAGTGAGTGGGGGGCAGGGGGGGGGAAGGCCTGAAAGCCCACAGGCGTTGAAAAAAAATACCGCCGCACAACCTCCCTTTTCAGAGCAGAGACCGTAAATGCTGATTAATGGATATCTAACCTTGAAGGGGATTTTCAAAGACTTGATTTGCAACCTACATAAGCCTTCAGGCCATGATCTTTTCCCCCCTTCTTGTAATTGATTACTAATGGTTGGCCGAGACTTACGGTAACTACAGTGTTGGTCATTAAATAAAATATATTATCATCTTTCATAGCTTCCCCCCTCCCTCCTCAAATCATTCCTATGCAATTGTCTGCAAAAAACTAGGCCAGATTAATCTTATCCCCTCATGCTCCCGGAAGTACCAATTACTATTATATTGTAGCTTTTACATTATTAGGAAATAGCTACCGCTATCGTAATTCCTCAGAAGGGTCCTTCATCTGGCAGTCTTGTAGGAGAGATAAAAAGAACTTGAAATGTAATCACACAGGACAGAGGAAAATATATATATATTTTCAATTTGTGCCTTAGTATGTCATGTGGGTCCAGTTACTAGTCAATTTATGGTTTATGTGTCATTGAACTCTTTTACCCCACAAAAAAGGGCCACTTATCGTTCTCGGTAATTCATTTCAGGGTGTGAGGCAGGGGCGGGATTCAAATTTTTTTACTACCGGTTCTGTGGGTGTGGCTTGGTGGGCGTGGCTTGGTGGGTGTGGCAGGAGAAGGATACTGTAAAATTTCCATTCCCTCCCCACTCCAGGGGAAGGATACTGTAAAATCGCCATTCCCTCCCCACTCCGGGGGAAAGTTACTGCAAAATCCCCATTCCCTCCCGATCAGCTGGGACTCGGGAGGCAGAGAATAGATGGGGGCGGGGCCAGTCAGAGGTGGTATTTACCAGTTCTCGAACTACTCAAAATTTCCGCTACCGGTTCTACAGAACTGGTCAGAGCCTGCTGAATAGTACTTGTGGTGTGAGGACTTTATGGCAGTGTATCTCAACCTTGGAGATTTTAATTTGTGTGGACTTTAACTCCCAGCATTCCCCAGCCAGCAGGCTGGTTGGGGAACGCTGGGAGTTGAAATCCATACATCTTAAAACTCTCAAATTTGACAATTGCTTCTCTGTGGTTTAAATGAGCCCTAGGAGGCAGATTTTTTTTTAGAATCGTTGGACAAGATCTTATGGGCTGGGTCTACCATCTTTAAATGAAGTTTATTCATTTCTATTTTCATTTCGCATTTGTATGACGGAAGTATGTTTTATCTACGTTACTGTAAGTCACATGGAGTCTCAGGAGGTTGGTGGTGCATCAGTTTGAGTAAATAGATTACGTCCAAATTAATACAGTTGGGAGATTGTTCCAGTATTCTTTGAAGGGGTTTAGAGTTTGGACATTCCATCTTAAAAGGAAGGGATACAAATCTTCCCAGTTTCACGATGGCATGAAAATATGAACTCCAGTTTTCTCAATCTAGGTTGACTCTTGTTCATCGGTGGGAACAATGGAAACTTCTAAAAATCAGGAAGCGCCAATGAAATCCTTGAAGTATCAACGGTCATTTTAAACAGTGTGGTCTTTCGATTAGGGCATTGTTCTCTTTGTTTTTCTACTTTTTCAACACCTGTGATTCTGTCTCTCTCTCTCTCTCTTTCAATATTTAGTATATGGGCTGCATTGAAGTCCTGCAATCAATGAGGTCTTTGGATTTTGGTACTCGGACCCAAGTAACCAGGTAAGTTACAGCATCCTATTCAAACTAGGGGTGGGCTTCAAAAATTTTAGCAGGGGGTTCTCTTCCCGCTTGCTGGGTGGGCGTGGCCATGGTGGGTGTGGCTTAGTTGGCCTCCTGCACTGGGGGTGGGGCTTTTTGCCCTCCCCGGGCCCCGGAGCCCTTCCTTGAGCCTCCGGGAGGAAGAAAATGGCGTCCCCATGCAGAGGCCCTCTGGAGGCAGGCAATGGGCCCATTTCCGGCCTTCCTGAACTTCCGTTAGGCCCGTTTTTTGCCCTCCCCGAGTCACTGCATGCGCCCTGCACTTACCTGCATCCAAAACAGGCCATGTGGGGACTCCTGGGAGGGGAGGGGAGGGGTGGGCGGGGCCAGCCAGGAATGGGATTCGGGGTTCTCCAAACTGCACAGAATCTTAGCTAGAGGTTCTCCCGAACTCCTGCGAACCCCCAGCAGCCCCACCCCTGATTCAAACCTTCTATATTTCTACGCAGGCAGAAATATAGTTTATTTTCTTCTTATCCTCCTGATTTAAAACATCAGATCCTTTCGGATTGATTTTCTTGGCTTTGTTCTGCTTGGAGTTGCAGGTCATCAGTCAATCAATGAAGTTTTGCTATTGATCACTTTGAATGGATGTTTTTCCACTGTAGGATTTTTTTACTGGTTGAGGGTTTTTTAAAGCAGCAGATGTGTTTGTGTGTGTGTATTCATTATATATTGCTTTTTAATTGTTATATCCCTGCTTGAGGTTTTTCCAATGTTTTGAATGACAAAAACATTGGAAAAACAGATAAGACTCATTCATAATACTCTGTACAGAAATGCATTACAATACAGTAGTAGATAATCCAGGGAGAAAATCAATAAAATACTCCTTGGCGGAAAGCTGGAGGAAAATTTTATTTCTGTATATAAGTATTTATATTTATTTATCTATCTACATATAACTCCTAACTTTTCATTAACAATTCAATCCTCAAGCAGGGATATAACAATTAAAAATCAATATATAATGAATACACACACAAACACACCTACTGCTTTAAAAAACCCTCAACCAGTAAAAAATCCTACAGAGGAAAAACATCCATTCAATGTTTTCCTTTTTCTTAGGACCTTCACAAATTTAGCCCCAGTCTGGGCCCTGCATTGGACTAACACATTATATTAAAAAAATCCCTGTTAAGAATGTAATCAGTTGCTTTCGTTTTACATAAAACATGTTAGTTTAATTATAACTGCATCTCATGTTTTATTAAGCTGCTTTTGGGCTGAAAAAGCAGCTTTCGGGAACTAATTTTCAATTTATCAGTAGCACGACAGATAATATAAATAAAACACCATCTCTGTCCTTAACTCAGTTCAGGCTAATAAATATCTAATAGTTAGCCACATAAATGATGCATTACCCAGTTTTTCTGAAGCAGGACATATACTGTATATAGAATCACTACCAAAGACAGAAACTCCAATGAACAGCATATTACATGGGGCGGATTTTAACTGCAGATGTATCCACCTGCCCAAAAAAAATACCTGGCTTTAAAGTTGCCCAACAAATTACAAGCAGTTACTGAAACACTACTAACAATAGTATGAGGTGCGGTGGTTCAGTGGCTAAGATGCTGAGCTTGTCGATCGAAAGGTTGGCAGTTCAACGGTTCGAATCCCTAGTGCCGCGTAATGGGGTGAGCTCCTGTGACTTGTCCCAGCTTCTGCCAACTGAGCAGTTCAAAAGCACTGAAAAAATGCAAGTAGAAAAATAGGGACCGCCTTTGGTGGGAAGGTAACAGTGTTCCATGCGCCTTTGGCGTTGAGTCATGCCAGTTACATGACCACGGAGACGTCTTTGGACAGCGCTGGCTCTTTGGCTTTGAAACAGAGATGAGCACCGCCCCCTAGAGTCGGAAACGACTAGCACATATGTGCGAGGGGAACCTTTACCTTTACTAACAATAGTATTCATTCCAGTAGTTGTAAGCCAAGCTCCGCATTCAAGTTCTCGTCCATGGGGATGATGCAGAACCAACATCAGTCTCGATGACAGTCGTAAATCGAGGTTCTGTCGCTAGGGGTGGTTCAAAGGTAAAGTTTTGAGGAACAGCAGGCCATCCAGTTGGCTTGGCTTTTAATGCAAAGAATTTCGAAACATTCTTTGCGTGAGAATTTGAAAATCTAGCCTAGCCTGTTTATTTTATCATTCTGGCATGTCCCCTGTTTCATCTCCATACCCAGTGACTGAATTGCTATCAGAGGGAGACTGGGATTTGATAGTTGGCATTAAGTAAATGTCATATTCCGGTGCCCCCCCCCGGTTTCAGACTTCAACTCAGCAGCCAGCAAAGAGCCCGAGGCTGGAAATTATTTCACGAATATACTGGTCATTGTTAATATCGTGTCTGCCACATGAATATTTCAAAACCGCAGCAGGAAGCAGTCAAGACAACTCATAGTCGCCCAAGGGCTCTTTAAGCAAAAACTATATTGTGTTGAGATCTCATCTGGAGAACTTTCTGAATTTCCTTGAATTATGTACTGGCAAAGGGAACATTTGACATTACAGAAAGCTGAGTGACTAAGTTGTTTCCTTATTACACTCAGCATTGCTTGAAGTTGCTGTTGTGTTTCATGGCGTGCCTGCATGATTCAATTGGCCGAGTGGCTTCATCGCTCAACCATAGTGTGTCTTGACCACGATTTGCTGAATAAACCAAGATAGCTAGAACTGTGCAATGTTAAATCAGAAACCGGATGTGCAGAAAGCTTGAGGGAGTAAGAAAGTAAACAAGATAGAAACAAGATAGGATAGAAAAAAAGGGGGAAAAGAATTAAAGGTGGATTGCTTTCATTTGATTCCCTTAGAGTTCAATATGGTTAGCAGAAGTCATTCTTTTTGGTCAAATCTTCATTTTCTCCCCTTTCGTCGAGATAATAACAGCTACAATTTGCTAACAGGGCATTTTTTTTTGTTATTAAAATTTTTATTTTTATTATAACACAATATGACAAATACAAAACACTACACACACACACACACACACACACACACACACACACACACACGTGGTGGTCCTCTTCTAATATTTACATTCTCCCCCGTTTCCCTTTATACTATTCCATTTTCTTCTTGTCCCTTTCTCTTTTAATTACATTGTATTTCTTAACAATCATATTGATTTTTTACATTCTATACATTGTCATGTTCATTCTTTCCATTTTCATATTTCACCCCTATTTTTATTATCCATTATTTCTAGTCTCTAACCATTTATACCATTTGTGCCAGATTATATAATATTCCGTATCTTCCTTTTCTTTGAGCTCTTTTGTTAATTTATCCATCTTGGCACATTCTAGAATTTTTTTTATCAATTCTTCTTCTGTTGGTATATTTTCCCTTTTCCAATTTTGTGCGTATGATATACAGGCATTATAATATGTAAATATCCCTAATAAGAATGTCTCTGGTTTTCCCTTCATAGGTTGCTCTATTATTTTCTCTAACCACTTTTTAATCTTAGCCCAGATTTTTTTTGCAGCTGGACATGTCCACCAAAGATGGTAATATGTTCCGTAGCTCTTATACAGGGCGTTTTCTTGAACCCTACCCATCTTATGGCTTTCAACTGATTGTTTGTGTAGTGCTCGTCAAAGGAATATTTTCCACCTGTGCTATATTGCGCCATGTATGCAGAATAAGGCGTTAGAAGCGTTCTAAATTATGGGGAGTTAAGTCTTTAATGCACAAGCAGCGATTTGTTTTCGCTTCCCAGAATTGCAGGATTTTAATGCTATGCAGAAGGATGCATTGTGTTTATTTAAGAGCTTGATATTTCACTGTTTAAAACAGCTTAATGATATGCCCAAGTGAATTGTAGCCATCAAATGCTTCCATCTCTGAAACAGAGCATTCCATTAAGGCTGCATTAAAACGGTGTAAAGCAGAAGCTTTAAACAGCACAAGCTTTTAACAATTCCTTTTTAAATATCTTTGCTCGAGTTTCCGCTTTTAATGCAAAAGCTTCTTTTAATAACGGGGCACCGTCATACCTGTCTCAAAAGACAAAAATAATTTTGTATTTTGTCACCCGCCCCCATTTTCCTTAGCTATACATTTGCTCCGATCTGGCAAAGGAAGTGCCCTATCCAAAGATTTTGTCACTGTCAGGCATGAAGAATTGAGGCCCTACATCAAATTCCAGTTAAGCTGATTCGTTCCTCATGCTTTATGCATAAGGATCTAGTCAACTAATGGTCAACACTAAATTGCCCTAGATAAGGGTCAATGGAATTCAAAGGGGATTGGGTTTAGACCTTTGTGGGAACGTACAAACTGGAGGCTGGTTCCTCTCTTGACTCCAACCTCTGTCTCTGCCTGTCTTCCTCCTACATGTACCACTTGTTTAACAGGATATCAGCATGCACACTGAAATATTTTCTGCCTGGACCTTAGAAAGTGCAGTGGAATGGCTCTTTCACCCAATCTCCTGAAGACATTGGATCGGATAGAATATTTCATAGGATGGGAGGCATCCAGAGGCTGTAACCTCTGGATGTGCTTGGACCCCATGTCCCATTGTCCATACTGGTACAATAGGACTGGGTGTTTTATTAATATGATTTATTGGGTTAGGGATTTTCTGTCTTCACTGTGAGTTGTATTGTGTTGAGGGGGGTGCATTGAGGGAGCTCAACCGATCTCATTGTACATATGTTGTGCACAGACAATAAAGATTTGACATTTGAAATCCATCATAGAGCCATGCAGGCAAGGGCTGTGTTTGTACCGTAATCCAACTGTATTACGGACAACCACTTCATGAATGAATTGGAAGGATTTCGAGTATCAGACTATGCCATGTGATTTATGGTCCTAGAATTGGCTGTGTTTGTATAACCTGTTAGGCTATAACAGTTATTATAAATCATAGGGGCTAGGTACGTGCCTTCTGTTAAAGCATAAGCCACAGTTCCCAATGCATAATGGTTGGGTAGCCAAGCAT